AGTAATGTTGATGAAGGTGGTTCAAATATAGAGTTGGTACAAGTTGTTGTTTTAGATGTTAAGGTTGGAGTTATTGTTTGAACTGTGGTCATTAAATTGGTAAAATGCCAAAGTAGTTAATAGTACAATGACTATTCCAGATATTGCATTTAGAATTAGAATAATAATTAATATTGTGATTTGTGTATTTTGTAGTTCAACAAGGAGTATTGCTATCAATCAAGCTGCAAGTATAATTGCAATTAAGGTTATGATTAATATTTGTTTATGTGAGTTCATAAACAATAGATATAAGAGTATAGTAGATTAGTTTTAAGTAGAATATCTTCTTCAGATCCTGATTGTCCTGATTGATTCGGGGTGTTTACTTTTGCAAATTTAGCTTTCTTCTCAGGTTTAGAATATAATGGTGATCCAGTTTCTACTATGGGAAATTGTTATCATGATGATTGTGATTGTGGTTGTATTAATTGTGCAGCTAATTGTTGAATTTGTTGTGGGGTTAAAGCATTGTTTGGTGGTTGTGTGAATGGGTGTGCATTGCTGTATGCATTGTTGATTTTATTTTTATATTGTTTCATTTTCTTTTGCACTCGTTTAAAGCAGATAATAAGGGTTGTAATAATTGTTGTTAATACAGTTAATAGTGTGTCAAATACTTCAATAACAGTGACTAAAGTATTGTTTGAATTGTTTGTTGGCATTGGCATTATTATGATAATAGTTAGTTGCATATTTAGAAATATAGTTTGGCTTATTTGGCTTAATAATTGTGTAGAGCTTAGAGTTGTAGTTAGTGTTTGCGTAATCAGGATAAAAATAACAATTTGTGCTTGAGTTTGTCTTAAATATAATATAAGTATTGTCAGGATAAATAGCTTTGCGCAAATATTTATGTAAAATAGTTTTACTTGTATTGTTTCTAATAATATAGTATCGTCGTAGATGATCAGTCTAAGAGTTTACTGTTGAGTTAACTAGTCTCTTTATTTACTAATTTCTCTTCATTATTGGGGTCCAATCTGGTAAGTATTTCACTTAGCAAGTTACTTATTTATACAATAGATATTCGGTAGATAATAGTTTATTTGATATAAATGTTTCTTTATTAATAAAATATGATATCATTATACAAGAGTAGTTTAATTCAATAGTTTTAAGTTTCTATAAATAAAGTGTTCAGCAATTAATGCTGTTACTAATATAAGGTGTGTTGATAAAATTGTTAAAAATATTACAAGAATAACTAATAATAATGAATCACTATATGTTCCTAAGTTTTCGAATGAATATACGATAGTAGTCATAAATTGACTATATACAAAATATTTACTATCAAAGTAATTTTTATATATAAGAGATTATAAGTGTTGGGTTATTAAATCGAATATTATATGCACGAAGTTTGCTAAGGTAAAATTTTGATGTTTAAATACTTTTTGAATAATATGAATTGATACAATATTAATTTCTAAATTGTTAGACTATATTATACTATCTCATAGTTTATTTTTCTAGTTTCAAAAGTATAATAGTTAAGTATAATAAATTTGTTCCACTGATTGTCTTTAGATAAGTTATTTTTCTTGGTACTTGCATCGCGTTGCTTGATAGTAATCTTTAATGATTTTCTATTTGTTACACACTTGGTGATCTATTTGTTTTATCTCAGATTGTTTCTTGGTACAATATATTCTCATTTGTAAATTGATTTTCTGGGAATTTTACTTGTGTTTCCCTATACACCGGAAGCAATTGTTAAGCTATTTATTAATTTAAATTTAATAATTTAACATTTATATTTAATAATAATATTTAATTTAAAATTTTTTAAATATTTCTAAAAATTTGGAATTATATATAATTTGTTATGCTAAACAAATTTTAATTAATAATTAAATTTAGTTTATTTAATAAAAAATTAACTTCTAATATATAGCAATTGTTATGACTAATTTTTAAAAATTACTATTTTAGTACTTGTACAACATTGTACAAAATTATATAATATTAATTATCTCAAAAGATACTGTATAAAATTTTATAATTTTTTTTCATTTAAAAGATATAGATTTAATAAATTTATATTTTAATTTTTAGCTTTATATCTTATTTATTTAATTTTATACAAATTTTTAAAAAGTGTCTACAATAATATAGTACCCCACTGTAGTTTAAAAAACTATACCATACTAACAGATATTATAATAAATTTAAATTATTATATCAGATTAATATAATATAAAGATCTAGACTATATTGACCTAGTTATAAATAATATTAAAATACTAAATTGCCTACCACATTTTGAATATGCCAAGTTGGCAGTATTAACTATCTAAAAAATTTGCACTAACAAATAAAATGTATATTATAATAAATTTTAATACTATATAAGTAGAAATAATACTCATAGACATTATTTTAAAGATCAGCTCTTTAAAAATATATGGTCTTGAATTAGCATTTCAAGTTAACATATATCTTAATGTTACAAATAATTTATTATTATAATAAATTAGTGCTTGGATCCATTCAAAAAATCTGGTGGATATTTTATTAGATATCCGTTCATATCAGATAACGAAAATATTTCTGCAAATAGCTGGATATCTATTAAACTATCTGGTACTATCCAATACTTCAATTAATAATAATAATGCATTAATATTTGCATGAATAAATGATATATTTTATACATAACATATAATCTGATTAGAGAATTTTTTTAGATACGTATTGATTTAACTATTAGATACTTTGATTATTAATGCTGCATAATATTTTAGCATGAATAAATGACATATTTTTATATATAATATTGAATAAAGAATTATTATAAATTAGTATTTTACCTTAAGTGCAAAAAAAATTTTTATATACCTTATTTATAATCATAATATTGTAATAATAGATAGTGAAAATTATTTATCTAGTAAAACCTCAAGTGAAATTTCTCTAAGTTATATGAATAATAATATTATTACTATACATGTAGTTGGTGATACATATCCAGTAGATGATATAAATACAGTGGATAATATGGATGATGCAAATGCGGTAGATGTAGTAAATAATAATCAGTCTAAAAACAGAGGAGGTTCAAGAAAAAGAAGTTGGGTATGAGATTATTATATGACTTTACCTACTAAACATGGATCAAAAGGCCAGTGTAATGAGTTAACAAAAGTAGACACAACATGTAATTATATTGTCAAAACAGATAGTAGTACTGGAAATTTTAGTTATCATCTTCAAAGTATACATAGAGTTATAAAATTTAGCAAATTGATATTAGATACTTCCTATCTGTCATTTGATAAAATATTTTGTCAACAGTTTAAAAAGAATATTGAATATAAAGAGCAAGTTGATGAAATAGTGGCTGAATATCTCATATCTGATTTATAGTCATTTACTATTTTAGAAAATCCAACATTTATAAAACTTCTAAAAATACTTAATCCATATTATGAAATACCTTGTGATAAAAGTATTAAAACTCGAATCTATATGTCTTATAATTGAATGATAGCTACTCTTAAAGATAAGATAAAGAATTCAATGAGTTATAGTGGACTAACTATAGATCTTTAGACTGCTTGCAGTAATAGTGAATATCTCAAAGTTACTTGTTCATAGATTAATTCTTATTTAGAGTTACAAGAAATCACTTTGGCTATTCATAAAATAAAATATCTACATACTGGGCATGCAATTGCTTCTGTATTAAAATCTATAATTCAAGATTGGAACTTGAATATAAAATGTTTTATGGTAACAACAGATAATACCAAAAACATGAAAAAAGCTATTATGGAAATTGAAAATGTTAATCATCTTTTATGTAGTGCACATACTCTGCAACTAGTTGTAGGAAAAGGATTATTACCAGTCAAGGTCCTGGTTGTATGAGCAAAATGATTAATATAATTTTTTACATCTTCTAAACAAAGCAAACAACTTGAGATAGCACAAATATCTTTGAATTGTGTTGTATGTGATAATATTAATAATAATCACAAATATCTTAAAGTTGTATTGGATGTTGCAACATGATGGGATTTGACATATATGGCATAGGTGAAAATTTTAAAATTGAAATTAGCAATTAAAGTAATGCAATTAACGATAAGTCATAGTAATAACCCTATAGTTAGAAAAGATACATGACGTCTTAAATGAATTATGTTAATGTCTGATGAATGGCAATTGATGGAAGATTTAGTTAAAGTTTTACAACCTTTTGCTAATGCTACAAAGATGCTTGGTAGAAGTAAATATACTACTATTTCATATATATTTCCTGCTATATTATCTCTTAAAAAATTGCTTAATATTGTATATGATACTCAAGTTGATGTAAATCTTAACAACTCTAATATAGCTTTTGATGATGATCAAGAGTTTTAAGAAGAGATTGATCTTATAGATGAACCTGAAGTACTTGATATTGAATCTGAAACAAAAATTAACCAAATTAAAATTAATATTCCACAAGTTTGTGATGGAATGGTTAAAATTGTAAAAATTGCATTATTTAATGTTTTAAATTATTACTGAAAATATCGAATTAAGGAAGCTCTTCTTGCAATGCTTCTTGATCCTAGAACCAAAAAAATAGAATTTGCAACTTATTCTCAATGACTTAAGGCTTAAGACTATTTGATAACTGAATAATAAGTATTTAAAGAACAAGAACCAATACCAACTGATATGGTACGAATGGATAATAGTCTTGAAAAGGAAGAAAATGTGTTATTAGCTGTAATGTACAGATCTAACCAAGAATCAGATACTAATAATAAAATACAAGTCTATCTTGCATTACCAAGAATTCCAAGTACTCAATGTCCTTTAAAATGGAAGAAAAGTCAGCAGTCGACTTTTTCTACATTAAGTAAGCTAGCACAAAAATACTTATGTATTCTAGCTACATCTACACCTAGTAAACGACTCTTTGGTAATGGCAGAAATCTTATAACTGCAAAACATACTTGTTTAAATGCAGATTTATTTGAACATATGCTATTCTTAAAAGAAATACTAATTGTACTGGTACAATATTTCTTTAAAATAGTGTTATAAAACTGTATTAATTAGCATTATTTTTTCAAACTATATTACTATGTATATGTATTGATAATATTAATAAAAAATATATATTCTGATTGCAGCTAGCTTTTTTTATAATAATTCTTATAGTAAAAATTCATTCAGTTTAACAAAAATTTCTATTTGGATTGTTTGTTATAAAAATTCATTATATCTAGAATTGACTATATTTTTTATTAGTTCAATGGATTTATCAGATAATTTACAACCAGATATCCAAAATTCGCAGATATCTGAAAAATAGACTAAATGGATAACTATTATCCACCAGATCCAAGCTCTATAATAAATGATATACAGTTAATACCCTATATATATACACTCTATAAGTATACTTCACAGTACTTTCTCTTGTATATATACAAAATAATATT